AAAAAAAAAAAAAGAATATCCAGCCTAGTCCCCCTTTAGCCAGTTAGCGCGTTTCAGACTCAGAAGGAGGACAAAAAATGAAGCCCGAGTGCGTCGCTGCTCTGTTTTTCTCAAGTTCCTGGCTCGTGTGTATTTTGGAGGGTGACTTGGAGGTTGAGCTGGATTCTGCATGATTGGCTGGGATGACCAGGATACTGCAGGGCCCTGCTCACCATCAGCGGCTACTCCAGAAAGGTCTAGAGCTCAGAATTCTCATCAGATCAAGGGACTCCATGGCCAGAGGCTGGAAGAAATAATTGCTGACCTGAATGATTTTTTCTCACAAGGCAGTCTTTTAAGTTGCCCTCCTATCAAAGTGTGGCATAGAGCAGACTGAAGGTGGCGTTTGTCACCGTAAACTTGGCCTGCAATGCAGCAATAAAAAATCTGCTGGAAACTGTAACCTCTTTTCCATTTCAGCCAAAACATTTTACCGGGTAAATTGATTTGAGGTTTCTCGTTTTGTCAGCTTTTTTTTTTCTTTGACTACCTCCTGTTTAGGAGATGGAACCATATGAAATTGAAGTTTTGTAGGTCAAAAGTGGGTGACTATCAGCAATTTCATATACTTTGGAAATCTAATAAGTGTAAGTGCATGTTGAATTTTCTTAATAATACTGAGCAACAGCTACGCAGTAGAAAGGAAACCAGAGAAAAGCCTAAATCATACTGACACCCTAACAATCTACTGAATAACCCAAAAGTACAAGCGAAGGTGTTTAGACCACATTTTATCTGTCCACTGTGGATGTCCCTATTTATTAAGTTTCGTAGTACATAGAGGTCATCCAGCAGCCTTGTTTTCCAGAGAAAATGGAAGGTCTCCTGCTGAGGTCTCCTACGCCAGAGCAGACCTCAGCTGGGTCTGGGGCGTGGGGGAAGCAGGTTTCATTCCCTTCCATATCCAGGAATAACTAGCACTGAATTCACTGTGGACATTTGTAAATGGTCCGTAATGGCATTTCAATTGATAGTGTTAAGCAAGTAAGCATCATTTCTGGTAAAACTGCTCTCAGAAGCTGGCGGGGGGAGAGAACGGGTCCCCTCCCAAAGAAGGACGTGTGGAGCAGAGCTGAGCGCATAGGGACACGTGAAGTATCACCGGGCAGGCAGCACGGACTGGGGTGGAGTTAGCTGCTCCACCATCTAGATGCAGTTGGGTTCACAGTCAATAAACTGTATTTGGTTCTATGGCTCTGCAAGCACAGTACTGGCTCCCCGTGGGAGATGGAAGCATTGCTCTGAATGAACTTCAGCTGGGAATCGGAAGGGGCGCTGCTGTGTGAACAAGGCTAGGGGGGTGGTCCCCCCTCCCCTAGCAGCAGCGGGGGAAGACAGCGTGGGGGGCAGGAGTTGGGTTGGGTTGGGCTGGGCGAGGGCTTGGGGAACGAGGGCTGGCGGTCCAGGCTCCCAGCCCTCACGGTCTTGCCTCTGTTCCAGGTTCCACCCTGCAGTCCATCATCTGCTCCAATGATGCGCTCTTCTACTTTGTCTTCTTCTACCCTTTCCCCATCTTCGGCATTCTCGTCATCACCATCCTGTTGGTGCGCTTCAAGAGCCGGAGCTCCAGCAAGAACCCGGACGGGAAGAACGGGGTGCCCCTGTTGTGGATCAAAGAGCCACACCTCAACTACTCCCCCACTTGCCTGGAGCCCCCCGTGCTCAGTATCCACCCGGGAGCCATAGACTAAGGGGAGCCCAGCGGACCTCAGCCACAGAGGAGCTGAGACTCTCCCTTCCTGCCTCTTGCTCTGTGATCACTCAGCAGACGGCACCCAACCTCTGGAGTGCTCTCGCCCGAAAACCGTCAGACTTGAGAAGTGTTCAAAGTCCCCGATCAGTCACAGAGACAGACTGCCTCTCAGTGGCAGTCCTGGTTGGTTAGCTGTTTTGGAGCAGATGTCCTTATCCTGCAGAATTAGGCTCCTTGTTTCTGTTTCCGGTAATGTAGTGAGTAGCTCCAGGTGCCATGTCTACTCACTGATTTATATAGTATTCTCATATAGATGTGACAGGGGTTCTTATTCTTTGTAATGGACTCTTTTGAAATCCCTTTGGTTTACCCTTTTTGGATTCCGTAATGTGACGGACGAATTTCTCTTTAAGGTACCACTGATGGCAAAAGGAGGGATGAACTTTATGGCGCAAAGGAATCTCTTCCAAGACTTAACTGTTTTTGCATACTTGAAAATGCTACCCACGGATCAGAACACACCCAAACGTTTTCTACTTTCTTAACGAGACTCGAAAATTATGTGTAGTGTGGGCCCAATTTGTATCTTATCTTCTCCCTCTGCTGGAGTGGTTGGAACCACTTTGTAGTCAAGATGAAAGCATTGAATTTTGCTTCAAAGAACTGTGTATGTACAACAGAAATCCTGCATAACCCCATTAGGAGTAGATGGTGCCTGACCAGCCTTTCAGGGAGGCAAAGAATAGGCTTCATCCCAAGCTTGCCAAAAAAAACCCCCACAAAAACAAAAAACCCGCTTTGTTGGAGAATAAGTCAAAAGCCCCAAACAGCACACACTTTGCCAGCTAAAGTGGGCAATGGGCTGCTTTTAGCAGCCACTGACTTTCAGATTGATCAGAGCCAGTGATCAGGGAAGGAGGGACAAAAGGCTAGTTGTTGGCTTGATCTGTTCTGCACCAGACGTCTCTTAACTGATAACTTGAGTGGGTGGGCTTCTATTTTAAGGTGCTTTGCCAAACTCTTAAGGGAAAGTGGCCAGGGAGCCTGAAAAGGGGACAGTGCTGAGCTGACCACAAGGGGCCCAAGCAGCTGCCCACAGGATACCACATACCTGGAGGGCATGGGGTGGGCTGACAGCTAAGCTCCTGCAGGGGTCAGTGGTGGGAAGGGGTGGTTTCCAGAGCCTGACCTTGGAGACCAGGGGAGGTATAACTGCCACGCTGGAGGTATGAAGACTGGGTTTTTCTTCTTCCCTCCAGGTAGATTTTCCTCAAAGAGAACGGTGTCTTTCTTGTTCACCATTTCTGTCCGCGTGGGTCTTACTGCCATGAGAAAATCTGCCCCGGAGAGGTCCGGACACAGCCCTTTTGTGACCCAGACGACCTAGTCTCTGCGGGAAGTCATCACATGGCTGCGTGGGTCTTTGCCTTTCCCTTTCTTAGATCTTGTTTGTGGTTTTAGGCGATTTGGTTGTTCATTGTTATGGTGGCTTTTCATTCGAATGCCCACTGAAGCCCAGCAAAGCCAGTGTCACCCTGTTCCTTTACACTACGGGGCAACGTGCTTGGCTCCCCTGGCACGCCGTCATGGGTTACAAGTGTTGCCTTTCGCTCACTCCATGGGAGGAGTGCTTATGCCCTGGCGTTTCTTTCTCTGTTTTGCTGGTCAAGAGCACCGTCTCCTTTCCTCTTGAACTTGCATCTTGAAGCCCCAGGGAATTCCCAGTTTAGAAAAAGCCACCAGGGATTCTGGAGCTAAGTCTAACCAGAGAGAGGATTGTCTGTCCTGAGGCTGAACAGACTCCCTGGGAGGCCAGGTGGGTGCCGATCCGTATCGGGGTCCGTGGGGATGCTGGTGGCGTGGGTGCTCAGCGGACGCTCTGCTGTTGCGCAGTTGAGGGGTAGCAAGACCACCAACAGGCTTGTGGAGAGCTGCCTCCCTTTCTTCCCCCCCGCACCAGTACTCTCCTATGAGACCGTGTGCAGGTACCACCACCTTCATTCCTCTGTTGCCTGATGTGCTCATTCCCATTTATTACGAATACTGCGTCAGCGCCTCAGAGGCACAGAGCCCACCTGCTCAGCCGTGAGGGAAGAAGGCAGTCCTTTGCCCCATTTCTTCCTTTCCCGCGCCGGGGTTTTCTGGGGATAATTGGCCCCTAATTGGTAGCCTGAGTCAATGAGGGAAGATGACTTACTTTCCTCTGTGAGAAGGGGAAGATGCCAGAGGGCTGGCCGGGACTGGGCGTGTAAGGACTAAGAAGAGTTGACTTTGCACTGGTTCACAGCTGTAGAAAAGTAGGTAATGCACGGAATTAAATATGTGAAGCAGTTGCAGGAAATGTGAAAGGAAGAAAAGAAACCGAAGCCAGTGTTTTAATAATTGGTCCC